TATATGTCAAATCAGCAGCTTTAATGCACTTATTTCCCTGTCCCTACCCAGCTTTATATATCCCTCAACTAACCCTTCCCCTGGAGCTGCACTGAGGGCTCTCAGCTTCCACTGAGCACTCCAAGAGCTTGGCTGGGTCTGCATGAGTCATCTGAGGTGGGTATGATCCCCCAGTTCACCTCATCATCATCAACTTCTGGTGGGGGTATCTTCTCTCTCATCCCTTCTCTTATCCTGTGGACTGGAATATTTCCTAGAGCCTCATGATCCTTTAGCTTTATCATCCAAGCTGCAAAATTCCCTTATCATCCTACAACATCAAAGCCATGCCCAGCTCTGGGAGGGTCTCCCTAGTGCAAAGCAACCCTTGGAGACTCACCACTTTCCGTGCACAGGGCAATGATGAGCACAGCCAGGAGAGAAGTCTTCATCCTTTATAGGTCTTGCAGCCTCCAAAATAAGAAGGACTCACCCAGGGCAGGTTTTATACCTCTGCAGTGTTTGCTTAGATGCTGAGATAATAACTATAGTGCTGCTGTGTCAGACCATGGATAATTGGGAGTAATGTGTCAGGGCTTAGAGGTGAGTTTTGAGGGAAGTCTTAGAGGGGTGTGTTCTTCCCTTCCACTTCTTTTCCTAGCTGTTTCACAATGCAGCTGTTTCAATTCGTGTTGACTCTGCAGCAGTTTCTAATTCTGGAGAAGTGGAGGAAAAGCCAAATACAAAAACAAAGAGTGGCCATGGGAGAGGAGGAATGTTTGCCTCTCCAAGACCTTAGAGCAGGCTGGAGCCTGAAAGCTCTTGTCCTTGCTCATATATTAAATTTAAATTTAAGATTGAATTTGGGATTGAAACTTGTATGAAATATCTCCCAGGATTGTCTATACAGCTAGATCAGAAGAGCACAATCCTTCTAGTGCATTTCAGAGGGGACTAGGCATCATTTCTGTCTCCTTTTTAAGGCAACAGTTCAAAATCATCAATGTTTCTGCTGAAAAAAAAGATCATTGGATACTTTCTATGAGAAGGAAATGTTGTCTTACTGCAGAATCAGTTCCACAAAGTAGTGAAAATGACCATTTCAACTAAAACCCAGAAGTAACACCCACACCCAGCACATTGAAAGCAGAAGAAACACCCACTCCCAGCATATTGAACAAGCTGTGGGTTTCTTCAGTTGCTTCAGAAAAAAGAAATGTCAGGGAGGAAAACACAAAGCAATTAAAACATGGAGAGGGAGAGATTGCTTGATCAAGGAGCTCAACTCATTAAGTCTTCAGGAAAAAAAAAAAAGCAGCCAAAATGCTGTGAAATGCCACAAAGGAGTTTTCCATTGGATTTCCTTACTGTGCTCTTTCTTCCTCATCATGTTTCATCTTGTCTGAAATCAGAATCTTTCCCATCTTCTTTGAAGTGTTGTTGTTTTTCCCTCCCACTCTTGTCTTTCTGCCACCTCCTCATGGGGATGGAGGCACAATCCCAGCAAAGGTCCAGCTGGCTCCTGCCACATGACACTTGGAGCAACCTTCATGCCCCAAGCCCCTGCCAGTGCCTCTGCCCCTTGCTGCTCTCCATCTGCTCTACTTCCCTCTTTTCCTTATCTCAAACTTGCTCAAATTTCCATCCCCCATTAAAGATTTTGGGCTTCCAAGCTGACCCACCT